TAGTGTAAATAACGCCACACAGTGGACCATAGTGTAAATAACGCCACACAGTGGACCATAGTGTAAATAAGGCCACACAGTGGACCATAGTGTAAATAACGCCACACAGTGGACCATAGTGTAAATAACGCCACACAGTGGACCATAGTGTAAATAACGCCACACAGTGGACCATAGTGTAAATAACGCCACACAGTGGACCATAGTGTAAATAACGCCACACAGTGGACCATAGTGTAAATAACGCCACACAGTGGACCATAGTGTAAATAACGCCACACAGTGGACCATAGTGTAAATAACGCCACACAGTGGACCATAGTGTAATTAATGCCACACAGTGGACCATAGTGTAAATAACGCCACACAGTGGACCATAGTGTAAATAACGCCACACAGTGGACCATAGTGTAAATAACGCCACACAGTGGACCATAGTGTAATTAATGCCACACAGTGGACCATAGTGTAAATAACGCCACACAGTGGACCATAGTGTAAATAACGCCACACAGTGGACCATAGTGTAAATAAGGCCACACAGTGGACCATAGTGTAATTAATGCCACACAGTGGACCATAGTGTAAAAAACGCCACACAGTGGACCATAGTGTAAATAAGGCCACACAGTGGACCATAGTGTAATTAATGCCACACAGTGGACCATAGTGTAAATAACGCCACACAGTGGACCATAGTGTAAATAACGCCACACAGTGGACCATAGTGTAAATAACGCCACACAGTGGACCATAGTGTAAATAACGCCACACAGTGGACCATAGTGTAAATAACGCCACACAGTGGACCATAGTGTAAATAACGCCACACAGTGGACCATAGTGTAAATAACGCCACACAGTGGACCATAGTGTAAATAACGCCACACAGTGGACCATAGTGTAAATAACGCCACACAGTGGACCATAGTGTAAATAACGCCACACAGTGGACCATAGTGTAATTAATGCCACACAGTGGACCATAGTGTAAATAACGCCACACAGTGGACCATAGTGTAAATAACGCCACACAGTGGACCATAGTGTAAATAAGGCCACACAGTGGACCATAGTGTAATTAATGCCACACAGTGGACCATAGTGTAAATAACGCCACACAGTGGACCATAGTGTAAATAAGGCCACACAGTGGACCATAGTGTAATTAATGCCACACAGTGGACCATAGTGTAAATAACGCCACACAGTGGACCATAGTGTAAATAACGCCACACAGTGGACCATAGTGTAAATAACGCCACACAGTGGACCATAGTGTAAATAACGCCACACAGTGGACCATAGTGTAAATAACGCCACACAGTGGACCATAGTGTAAATAACGCCACACAGTGGACCATAGTGTAAATAACGCCACACAGTGGACCATAGTGTAAATAACGCCACACAGTGGACCATAGTGTAAATAACGCCACACAGTGGACCATAGTGTAAATAACGCCACACAGTGGACCATAGTGTAATTAATGCCACACAGTGGACCATAGTGTAAATAACGCCACACAGTGGACCATAGTGTAAATAACGCCACACAGTGGACCATAGTGTAAATAACGCCACACAGTGGACCATAGTGTAAATAACGCCACACAGTGGACCATAGTGTAAATAACGCCACACAGTGGACCTTAGTGTAAATAACACCACACAGTGGACCTTAGTGTAAATAACACCACACTGTCCAGTACAGAACAGAGAACAAGGGAGATGAAATCGGGCAACTGTGGCTAGGTTCTCCCATACCAAATCAGAGTACACACCAAACCATTACCAGTTTTAGTAGCGCTGGTACAGGGGGTGCTTGGGGAAAAGGTTTTGTCTCAAAGTGAACCATTTTAGACCAGGTAATTATTCGAGGAATACATTTTTATTCACAGCATCACCATGCCGGCTCTGGCCCAACGGCCATATATTGAATGGCGTAATAGAACTAACACAAATAATAAAAAAGGCGGAATTAAAATGAACAGTAAGTCTTGAATTGCTTTAGTTCTGCGTTATAGGGAGGCCACACAATACACTGATTTGTTTTTAAATTTTCATTGCATTTGCTATAATGCTATACATGCTATACCTCACATTTTCTAAACACAGTTTGCAGAAATAGCTTTAATTATTTTGGCCTAAATCGTTTGCATATGTAAGCATTCATTTAAAAAAATGGTTGTTGACTCATTTGCTTCAAGGCTTCTGAACTGAACCATTTATTTAATGAAGTGTGCACTTACTGTTTGACAAACTGCCATCACTTCCTATTTTAGTACGAGCCCTTCACCTTTCCACAGGGAAACAGCTGCATGCAATGGTGTCTGCAAAAGGTGCAAGACAACTCGGGGCCTGGTATATTACACTTGGTACTGGAAGTGTGACGGTCTCCTGGATTCTGACACATCGTGCTGCAGCATCCATTGACTTCCTCTACTTTGAACACTTCCTAGAATGTATGGGTGGCTTGTTCTTCATAGGCAAATGAAATGCAGCAGTTATTTGTCATTTCACGGCAAAGAAAGAACATTTCGTACATTTTTTAAAATATAATTTTGTTGGTTTTTAATAAAAGATAGAAATGTGAAAATGTGTCTAGTTAGTATATTCGGACACAGGCGGAATCTCTTCTAATAACACGTCTCTCCGTGGATGCAAAGCCTTATTGATTTTTTACTTGGGCTGTGAACATTTGCGGTTCTGCTCTGTAGTCATATGCTACATGTTTCCCGTGTCTCTCTACTCTCCTGTCTTTGCACAAAGCTCCACTCCGGTCAGGTAAGTGGCTACTCTCCTATGGCTGGGCTGACTGGAAACGGCCTTTCCTGTGGTCTATTGGGCCCTTTCGGCATCCTCTAGCTTGTAGCAGTTAATCACACGATGCATGACTAAGCAGGCCCCCAGCTGTCTAAGCTCCACCATATTTATTACTTTAGACAGGATGGACAGAAACACTCTTCGGTCCTGTCTGTTTGAGACCACTTATCCTCCAGGTAAAGAGTGTTCTGGTTACTTCTGGTTATCAAACACAGGGCAGTTCCTTAGAAATTAGTACATATAAGCAATGTTGTCTATTCCTTGAAGCAAAATAGGTTGGGTTCTACAATACTATTTTGATCACCGAATGTAACGTTTTATCAATTAACAACTGAGATTGTGTGCTATCTTGATATACTGATATTCTATTAAAATGTGGTATCAGAAGATAATTGTGCAAGAAAATGTATACCTATCACACAATAGCGTCTGACTTTCTATTCAAACATCTCAGACATGATTTAAAAAATATTGTGTGGAGACAATGCCAATTGTCATAGACAAAGATTACAATTTTTAAATCATGCTTATAACGTCACAACCTGCGTTAGGTCCACCCACTCCAGGTGTTCGCCATTATCTTATTAGTGGGGGGTATTTAGTCAGTTGGTCTATCTTCTATCCCTGCTAGTACATTCCTCTCGCAGTGCTCACTCATCTTTGAGCTACAGCCATCCAGGTTTCCGACCGAGAGTTCCAGGGTTGCCTCTCATCCCGCTTGTGTCCTGTAGGGCGATGGCATGGGCTACAGCGATATGGGATCAACAGTCCTCAATCTTATACGGTTACGAAGAGTTTACTGCCGAATTGAGGCAGATTGGGGCCAGATGTATTGGCCGTAAAAAATAAATCTTGGCTGAAAAATATATTTTCAAATGTAAAATAAAATATGGTAAATGAAAAAAAAATATTGTTTGAAAAAAGATTCTGAACGTAATAAGTGGATGTTTGGATCCAATCCCCCCCAAAAAATCAGTCAAACCTTTTTTTCAGTTTCACTTTTTTCGATTACAAGTTTTTTTTTACGAACAAACTTTTGGCCCCTTTCTGGCGTGTGGGCGGGGTTATCAATTCCCACAGCCCCACCCACTGCTGTTAGCCGTGAGTGTAAATCACCCAACTTCTCCTGAGAGCTGTCGGGGCCTTTCCATTGGAACCCATGCAGCTGTGGGGGCTAAACTGTCTTCGGCTGAGAGACAACAGCTGTTTGTACTGTGGCAAACTGGGGCATTATATCTGGTTAAGCACCTTGGTATTCCCACATGCCCTCTTGCTATGCCGGTGGTGGCCAGAGCCCTGGATGGGTGGTCCATCAGCCACATCATCCAGATCACTGTTCCGGTGGAGCACTTGATTTTTTTCTCCGTGAGAACCAGCTGTTTGTGAGAGCCGCGAAGTGGGAATTTCTTAACAGGCCTTCGTCTCCAAGAAGGTGTGTGCAGCGGCTGACTGGCCGTCCCCAACATCCAGGGTCGAATTTGTACGTTTCTTGGGGTTTACAGCTCAGTCGCGCCCCCCCTCACGACTCTGACCACCACTAAGGTCTGCTTCACCTGGACTCCTGGTGTCTTTGCCAAGCTGAAGCAACGTTTCACCTATGCCCCTGTCTGGGCTCACCCTGACCCCTCAAAGCAGTATGTGCAGTATGTGCTTATTGCTGATTTCTCCTGCTACTCTGACCACTCTCTGCCTACCACCTGCCTGTACCCATGCCTCTAGCCTGTGTGTCGACCTCCTGCTGCCCCAAACACCCCCAGCCTGCCACCTGCCTGTACCTACAACTGCAATCTGTGTACCGTTCCTCAACTATACTTGTCTGTATTAAAACTGCATTATTCTGTAGCTACTCACCTGTGTCTGCATCTGGGTCTATTTCTGATTGTGAAGCCCGATAATTAAACTAAATTACAGCATCTCCATCGTCTCTAACAGGTCTATATGATTAAGAAAGACTGGACCTGTCATGAACAGCTTCTGTCTGGATTCATGCAGAGGATAAAAAGGCTGTTTTGTTCACTTTGGTTTCTGCGTTAACACAGAAATGCTATAAAAAAGAATGTTATGTTACAGAAGTTGATGTGTAAACCCAAAAGGTGGTAGGGGATATGTTTATTAACCTTTAATTAACCAGCTAGGCCGATTGAGAACAAATTCTCATTTGCAATGGCGACCTGTGTAGAAGCTGGGGATTCAACCCAGGAAAACATACTGATAAAGCACGCACTCTACCACTGAGCTACCAACTCCTTAAATGATATAGTTGTTGAATTAGTTAAATTACATAATGCTTCTGCACTGTAACTGCTTGCACATGTTTGAGCATAGCTAATATTATTATTATTTTTGAACTCAAATACTAGGAAAATAGCTAGGTAGTTACTGACTAGTTCCAATTTGAACAATAAAACAACAATATAGCCAGCTGATAGCCATAAAGGTCATAGTAAAAATATCAATGTACCCGATACCAACATTCTATCTTAATCTTGTCTTCTTATTTTTGTCTATTCTTCGTTGGTTTGTAACAGCTTCTTCCACGTGAATCACATTTACAAATGTACAGTCAGTGGAGAACCAGGCATATCAGCAAAGGTTTAAGTGTATATTGCTGTTATTCAGGTTGGCAAGGTGGCCTATATAGTGGTTGAGGCATATGACAAATGAATGGGATAACTCACTACTAGTGTCTGATAGATTCCTGTTTCTAATCTCCTGCTAACGTTAAATGTCAGTTGTTCTGTGCCAAATCAGTAGCCAGATTTCCCTAAGCTAACAGTTGATCCTAATTGCTAGTCCTCCTCCCTGTTACATTCCCTGAGGAAAACCTGCGAAACCTAATTACTCCTCTTCCCCTTGTAACATCCCCCCCTAGGATGTTGCTTTACATAAGAATTGGTTTTTAATCAACTTGCCTGGTTAGATAAAGGTAAAATATGAAAATAAAAGCATTTTGTAGGTCACCGGACGTGGCGAGCGTGGTCTTGTTAATCTCTCTCTGGCAGACAGACAGTTTCTAAATGCCAATGTGAAGGGAATGGTACTGTTCTGTTCTTTTGCCCTGGATATCAATATCAAAAGACTACAGATTATTACACATCCTGTTCCTGGGACACCAATTACCCCTGATTATATTTAGATACATTAACTCCCTCATAATCACCTGTATGAATTCTTGTACATTCAGTGTGTACAACGATAAAAAGATTGCTCTTCTCTTTTAACACTCAAACAGATATTTATTGACTACATTGTTCTATTTAATCTGTTGCGCACTGAAAATGAGGAGCGTGTGTGATAATTGAATTTAATTTTGTCATGATGTACATTGCAAATAAACATTGATTTGATGTTTTGAGTTTGTCAAAAAGCATGTCCTGAAGTGTATTCATTTTGAAGGACACAAGTTCAGGTACATGGAGAAAATATTCAAAATCATAAAAAAATCAATGACAATGAAATATATATTTAACAAAGGTGGGGAGAAAGTGCTTGGAATTCCCAGAATGCTTTTTAAAAATAAATGTATGTTCAGCTCATTTCCCTCCACAGATAGTAATATTCTATTTGTGACCTCTGGCCCTCTATCTTTGTGCGAGCTCACAGGCACCAAAGCCATCACACAGAGTTGCTAGGGCGCAAGGTGGCCGTCACATGGATCTGCTAGGGCGCAAGGAGGCCATCACACGGAGTTGCTAGGGCGCAAGGAGGCCATCACACGGAGTTGCTAGGGCGCAAGGTGGCCGTCACATGGATCTGCTAGGGCGCAAGGAGGCCATCACACGGAGTTGCTAGGGCGCAAGGAGGCCATCACACGGAGTTGCTAGGGCGCAAGGAGGCCATCACACGGAGTTGCTAGGGCGCAAGGAGTCCATCACACGGAGTTGCTAGGGCGCAAGGAGTCCATCACACAGAGTTTCTAGGGCGCAAGGAGGCCATCACACGGAGTTGCTAGGGCGCAAGGAGGCCATCACACGGAGTTGCTAGGGCGCAAGGAGTCCATCACACAGAGTTTCTAGGGCGCAAGGAGGCCATCACACGGAGTTGCTAGGGCGCAAGGAGGCAAGGCAACCATATTTGATTACAAGCACCCTCTAACCAGGACAGTGCTGGTCAATTGCACCACACTCTGCAAGACTCAAGGGTTTCAGGGGTCCAGATATACATTTTTTTAAATATGGTAACAACCAACAATCTAACTAAAACCGACTGTACAAGTTCATAATTTGTATATATCTGTAAAGGCAATTTGATCAAACTTAGCGACACTACACAATTTACATTTCATCTGACTGCCAAAATACTTTTCTAAATGCACATTCAAAGGTGCGGACTCTTTACAACTTTAAGATCGAGGTGATTCCAACCCTCTAGTTTGGGCTCTACAAAATGACTCAGTATTTCTTCACAGATGTGCCTGTATTTGAAATAAGTTATTTGCAATACCCCACCGTGGGGGGCTGTGTCATTTTGAGCGAGATACATTTTTTCTTTCAACTGTTAGTGATTATCAGTTGATATTTCCTGGCCTATGTAAAACTACAACAATTCCACACACATAAACCTAGCGAGCTTGCAGACATGGTGCAGGGTAAATGGAAGATCAAGTTGAATCCGGAACCAGGCAGTAATTAATGGTGAACGGATCCCAGAGCAAACTGCCCCAACTGAAATGTTGATCAGAACCGGTTCAGAACCGCAGCAAGGTCACTGTGACAGGGTCCTTTATGTTATTAATAGAGTAAAAACTAAAGGAATGTCACAAGTTTATTTCTCCAATTGCATTTAATGATTTCCTCTTTTGTTTTTGTAGTTATTTGTATTGAAACTATAAAAATCAATGTATACGTCTTGCATTTAAGACCAAAATGAGCCAGGGGTGTCACGAGTGAAAGTTGAAAAAAGCATCATTATCCCAGAGTTATTTGTTGTCATCATTCCCCCTGCTGAGAACTGAAGCTGTAAAAAAAGAGCAATGGTCTCTGAAAGAGGAGATCTACAGCAGTCTGGGTTTCACATGACAAACGACAGTCTTGGGTCTGCAATTATTTATAGCTACTAAAAGCTGTCATTGAGAGATGATTGAGGGTGACCGCTTGATGGGAAAGTGTTTCATCAGCCCAGTCATTGTAGGCAGAGAGAAGTCTGATAAAAGCACAGGTGAGCAGGGGAAAGGACATGGTACAGGAGACTGTGTGATATTGGGCAATATGTTTACCTGTCAGGCTGAGAGCCAGGTGGTAGAACGGATTCCAGCTTTGTTTCAGGTCTGGTCTGGCTTGCCAATTAGGAAGTATTAATCACATAAGGGCTGTTAGTCTTTGTGTCATCTGAAGTAAGTGTCTGATGTTGGCTAGGCTGCCAAGAGGGAAAGATGAGCGTATATATAAATGTATGACAAATTATACCTGATATGCTTTGGGATGCCTTACTGAGATTTACGACGTATTTATTAATACCAGGAAATCCTTTTTGTATTTGCCAATGATGCAGTTTCTCATCATCATTAACAGTCTAATAAATATATTTTAATCAGCCATCAGGAGAATAATACGATTGTTTTGAAGGTTGTGTTTATTAAGAGATTAGATAACATTATAGTGTGAAAAGAAATCATGTAACATCTTGTTAATGGGGCTTGTATAGGAGAGGTGCAGAGGGGAGCAGTGGGGTGGGGATATGTGGCAATTTGGCTCAAGATAAATATGGAATAATACCTGGTGAATTCTGCTTGCCTAAATGTTAACGCAACCCTCATCCCCACATTCGCCGAGACATGCTCACCTGCTCTCTATCAGATATATAAACTGGTCTGTGTTTCCGTTTCAGCAGTTAAGGATTTTCTGTGCAAACGTGGTCCAGAATCTGGCTATCATGGCAAATCTGTCTGTTCCAACGTGTCAATTTATTGGCATTAAATCGATTAAAACGTTTAATCTTTCTAATAGGCGTAATGCACATGACTTCACATGTCTGGCCAAAAGCTTTGCAGACGCACGTTATTTCCACCAAATGAATCAGACCTACAGAAAAGCAATGAATTATTCCCTTTAGTCAACACATGGATGTGGCAGTGGGTTCATGTTCCCTGTGCCCACTAATGTCTCTGATGTCCACTGCATTTAGAAGAGGTGCAGGAGACCTGTTCAGGATGTCCCTTTCATGTTTCATGTTTGCACTTCAGAGATGTAGGTTCAGATTGAGGCTGAGAATCAGAAAAATCCTCTTGGCAAATTCTTCCTTTTGGCAATGCTAACACACCCATTCACATTGGACTTGCTATTGTTAGCTATGCCTGCACTAAATACATCTTCAAAGTCTCAGATAATTCAATAGATTTATGTAGGAGACATACCATTTTGTGATTATAATTACATACATGTGAACATATGAATGGATAGAAGATCAACTCATCCTCCAGCCGTTTTCCTGATAATAGACTTCTTTTTGTCCGAACTGACCTGCTCTCTTCCAAGTAAAATCATAGACCAATTCTCCGCCATCTGTCAGAAGTGATCGGATCTCCTAGAAGACTAAATCATGGACCAATACTCCTTTTTCTGTCAGTACTGACCTGATCTCTGGCAGGCTAAATAATGGACCAATTCACCCCTATCTGTCAGAACTGACTGGATCTCCGGCAGACTAAATCAAAGGGTCAATACAGCAATTGTTTTCTAACAATGATCCGCAAGGGGAACTTCCCACCTTATGCGAGATCTAAATTCGTACGATGATGTTTAAGTTGTCCCACAAACCACTTTATTTAAAAAAGAAAGGCAACGCATTTCATTATGAAACTTAACAAAGAGCATTGTTTAAGGCAAAAAATACAAAGTGTCATAGCCCAAAATATTCCGATGTGTAATTGTCATTAGTTATATTGCATTACTCCTTGAAATTGTTGACACACCTCAACAAATATATACAGTGCATCCAACTATTTTGTTATTTTACAGCTTTTAATACAGCAAAATTGATTTAATAGATTTTTTCCCCTCAAAGTTCTACACACAATAGCCCATAATGATAACGTAATTTTTTTTTTTTTGAAATCTTTGCAAATCTTTTAAAAACAAAAACTCTACATTAGTATTCACAGCCTTTGCCATGACACTCACAATTGAGCTCAGGTGCATGCTGTTTTCACTGATAAGCCTTTAGATGTTTCTCAACTTGATTGATAAGAGTCTACATGTGGTAAATTCTCTTGATTGGACAAGATTTGGAAAGGCACACACCTGTCTAC